GCTCGGTAATGTCCTAAGCCACGTTTCATCAACGGAATCGGCACACACTCCTTCACAGGCAAACACAAGCACGCTGTAGTTGGGAATCAATCGCACACAAGGCAGTGGCTGGACCGTAGTCCGCTCCACACTGAGTGCATGGAACCACTCTTCGAGCCCAGCACAACCACAAGGACCGTGCACCCCGTCCCGTCCAGCAACTACTAACTGTCTCCTGGAGCCAGTATAGACGAGGCAGTGTATAATAGACAGGTAGGCACCCTGTCAACATGCACACCAAGCACAGCCACACTGGGGATGTCAAGCAACAGCCAATCACATGAAATGAAATGTCGGATAAAATAGACCGAATACATCGTGCAGATATGCCGCCAAATGGGCATAAGAAATAAATGGATTATCAAAATAGCCGTGATAAATTCAGGATGGCAGAAAAAATGATAAAGACACATATGCAAGATAAAAATAAACGAAGTAACCTACCCTTAGTTTGAGCGAAATGTGCAATTTAATAGATTATTCAGGTACACATTAAAAGGAAGTAAGGAAATTACACTAAGACAAGGTAGCAAACCCACCACATGAAATAAAGAAACAAATCACACAAACATACCGCTAGTAAATGGAATGCAGCGTACCTATCAACGCTGCGCCCGTTCTGCTTACGTTCGACGCTGGACCCGAGTGGCTTAGTTCGTGGCTCACTAAACCTGCCAGACTCAAGCATTCGCGACCGCAAGTACTACAGCACTATGTGTTCGACGTCGATAGAGTACAGCCCATCGGCGTCTGTCGCTTCCGCACTTGCCGCTTCTTCTCTGTATGCAGGAGGGCTTTCTCTTACACCTCGGCAACTGCCTTCGTGGTTAGATCGCGCCACGCACGCCGATCAACCGCCTTCGATTCCCATGACTCGGAATCAATATTAGAAGGTGAGAGAGGCACTTTGATTATGTCTTGGTATCGTAACTTCGGCTTTCTAACGTGTCGTTTCCCTGCATTCTTTTGATCATAAAGCAGCTGTTTCGGTATCCGGATGGAATCCAGACGGCAAATATAGCCGAGCTATCTCAGGTGCTTCAGGCAGCTTCGTCGCAACAATGAGCTGGTGATTGTTCCACACGCGGCATTTTAGCCTGCCAAAAGCAGCAGCCGCCTTCGATATGCGGCTGCTCAGCTCGCAGGCTGGTCGGTTGTTATTACGCAACCAAGGTAGCAAAATCTCGAAGTGGTTTAAAACCCTTCGTCGGCAATCTGGATTTGAGGCAGACCAACGGACTCCATTCTGGGTGAAGACTAGAAAAGACAAACAATCTTGATTGTGTTGATGGTGAGCCCGAATTTGGTCGCTGTCGAAGCCAGAGCACTAGTCATGTGCTGCAACTCATCCGCGCTGTGTGAAAACAACGCACAGTCGTCAGCAAACAGCAACATACGGATAGTTGTCTCACAGACTAGAGTTCTCGCACCGAAACGACGGATGTTCAGCAACCCACCATCAATACGGTGCTCCACACGAACACCGTAAGCACAAGCGGCATCAAAAGCACAAGACAACATTGCATAAAGATATATATTAAACAGGGCAGGAGCTAAGACACAGCCCTGCTTCACACCAGAGACAACTGCAAAGTCATCCGAGATATCTCCACTCAGCTGCACCCTCGCTCGCATACCACTGTGCAGACATTCAATTAAACCTACAAACTTATACGGATAATAAAACTTACCCAACCCCAGCAACAATGCCCCGCGGTTCACCTATCAAATACTTTGGTGAAATCAACAAACAGCGAGTACAATGGCTGGTATCGTTCTTTGCACTTCTCATGCAATTGACAAGCCGCAAACACTATATCTATCGTGATGCGACTCGAGCGAAATCCACACTGCTCTTCAGCCACGTTAGGTTCCACAACCTGACTGACGAGGCGATTGAGCAGGATTCGGACAATCACCTTGTCCACACAAATCGGCAAGCTGATGCCACGATAATTCGTACAACAGGGCTTGTCCCCTTTGCCCTTGTACAGCGGTAGCATAAAGGCATCCTTCAGTTCAGCATGCACCTCTTCCTCAATGCACACGAGTTGCACCAAGCGCAGTCACCAACACGGGTCCGCCGTGGTTCAATACGTCAGGCGGGATCTCGTCGGCACCGGAACGCTTACCGTTTCGCAGCTGAGCAAGTGCTCTCTGCGTCTCATCCAGTCTCGGCGTATCCGCCAGATTCGCCTTCACATTGTGCTGCTTCAGGCCGTTCAATGTAGGCCAGTCGATCTCCGAACGGTTGTTCAAGAGACAGTCAGTGTTTTCGCCAGATCTACATTATGTCTGCAGTCTGTGTGCAGGTAGCGCCTGAACTACCATCGATCAGTGTCCTCAGCGGCTCCAATCTCGGTCCATGCACCGAGTTGGCGGCGTTCGGCGTAGCATTCCATCTGCCTCGCCTTCTCCGTCCACCATGTATTTTTAATGCGACGGGGCTCTCGAGTCAGTCGCCGTCGAAGTTTGCGAAACTGACTTCTCTTTCCCAAGTCACTGGGGTCTGCCACATGTGCAGCAAATGCTGCATTCTTCTCTGACACCAATGCGTCATTCGTCACATTGTTGTCATCAAACCAATCAGGCCGCTTACAGTTTGCGCGCCCGATGATCTCCGCAGCAGCTGTCATCTGGTCGCGAATGTGGTGCCACAGGTCGCCCATTGTGGATATGCAGTCCACATCACACATGCGTGTAGCCATCGCCTTCTCCAGCTCAATACGCTTCTCTATAGTACCAAGGGAGAGAATGTTAAATTTACGCCGATTCACGGCGGGAGTGCAATACATAGATTTACGAAAATATTTGTACAGTTTGGTCCGAACCAATTTGTTCCCAGTGCCACACTCAGCTCCCCGCACTACATGTGTCTTGCGCACTTCACGCTGAAGTACGATGACATAGTCGAGCAGGTGAGCATGACTACTCCGTGCGTGCGTCCAAGCTGCTATATCACTCGCAGTCAGTGCAAACCGAGTGTTCGTGATCGTCAAGCCGTGAGTGATACACAATGAGAGCAGCCTGTGACCGTTCGCATTCGCTGAACCAATGCCATGCAGAGAGACGACATCTGTCCACACTGATGCATCACGCCTAAGGCGTGCGTTGAAATCACCCAGCAGAAATAGTCGGTCGCTCCTCGGCACAGACCGCATCATGAAGGATAGCTGAGTGTAGAACTGATCACGCATGTCATCAGGATAACATATGGTCGGACCGTACGTGCTTATAAATGTAGCAAATTTACCTCTTCCGAGTCGTAGGCGAACAGTCAGCAGTCCCGCGTTGATGCCAGTTGGTTTATCCACCAGCTGGCCATGGAGACGATCGGATATTGCAAATCCGACCCTAGGTACAGGTGGTGCTGAAGTGGCGTTGCCTACCCAATAGAATGTGTAGCCAGCACCTGCTATATGCAACTTACCAGTTGGATTGACAATCTTCTACAAGAACGACGGCTAGTGGTGAGAGTTCGAGAATCATTTTCTCATGCAATCGATGTGGCGTGTGGAGTACCACAAGGCTCGGTTCTTGGACCTCGTCTATTCTTGGTGTTCATTAACGATTTGGCGAGAGCAATTACTACCGATTTCCTATTTTGCGCTGATGATATCAAGATATAGCGAAGGATCAGAGGACCGGACGACCATGAACGGCTCCAGTGCGATCTTAACACAGTGTCGAACTGGTCAGTTCAAAACGCCCTACCGTTCAATGTAGACAAATGTCGCGTTGTATAATTACGCCATAGACATAACTACACCTATTCACTTGGGACCAACGGATTGCAGACCAGCTCCATGGAACGTGACCTTGGTGTGATTGTACAGAGCGACCTCAACTGTTCAAAACAGGCTGAGGTAGCTGCGAAAAGAGGCAACCAACATGTCGGCATGCTGCGAAAGGCATTCGGGAGACTTGACCCAACAATCTTCCCAATGATGCACAATTCCTACGTGCGCCCGCATGTTGAATACGCTATCCAAGCTTGGCAACCTTGGTTGAAGCGTGATCTAGAAGCGATAGAGGCACCCCCACGAAGAGCAAAAGAGAATGTAAAGGGCCTACGCTATCACTCTTACAACCGAAGGCTGAAGTTGCTGGGAATTTTTCAGCGAACGCTATCGAAGGCTGCGCGGCGAGCTCATATTAGCGTATCAGATATTGAGTGACCCCAACCACGTATACTGCCATTTGCTGAAACTTAGCCACAACACGCAGCTCAGGGGTAACTGCTTAAAGTTGAAGGAACAATATAGCCGTCTAGAGTGTCGACGGAATTACTTTTCCCTTCGGATTTGCCAACCCTGGAACGCACTCCCAGACTCCGTTGTATCCTATCCTACATTGGATGTCTTCAAAAAACGATTAGATGTTGTTCTTAGCTCCCAACATTTTGTTACCTAAACTCCCCTATTGTGGATTACGTCAAGCATGCTTTTCAACAGGAGTTATGTATCAAATGGACCTAAGTGAGCGATCATATTTTATTTTTCTCACTCCTTACCTCAATGATCACTGCACCCCAGTGACATTCTGAACGTTTACGCTTGATACTTTATTTTAATTTGACACTGATGTTACTTATCAAACTATTCATCGAGGCAGACGTTCGATAGATGACCCAGACATATTTTAATTTCATCATATTCACCGCAACCATTCTACGGGACGTGTCAAGCATTTGCTTTTATCCCGTGATAAATCATTGTTCATTGCTCATTGACTTACCATGCATGCCGCTGTGTTGAAAGTCTACTGAGTCGTCCGTCGAATCCCATACTGATTGTTCTTCTGCGGCCCGCGAAGGCAATGGAGCTCGCTGTGCCAACATATGAAGCTGAAGTGAAAGTAACTCAGCGGGCAAGACGAACACTGCAGAACTACAGGCGCCAAGCTAAACATGATCATTTTTGACACACCGAAACGAAAAAAACGAAACTGCGTCTAAATCACCCGAAGCTAGTAGCCGATACTGCAAATCTACCGCGGAAATAGCATTGCAAAAGAGAGGATGACCGCGTAGCAAAAAGGAATTTAATTTCCAGACGGGGAAATTTGTAGAACTCGGGAGCGCATAGAATTGGAGTTAAACAGAAAGAAATGAAAAAGATCAAAAGCAAAGAGACAAAAGGTTGAAAGCGGAAAATGGGAGACGGACATAATTGGAGTGCAACAAGTACGAAGAGAAAAGAAGAAGAAGGCCAAAAGTGTGTGTGTGTGTGCACATGATCGAGTTGCGTACGCGAGCGGGAAAATCCTATACAGACTAGGACTGTGAACAATAGAGTAAGTACAAAATAAATGCATAGAAATATGCCTAATAAACGAACACGGCCTATTGGAGCGATAGGGTAAATAAATTTGATCGATTTTCGGATAGATAAGTTACCGTACAAAATCTCAAAAAAGGTACACACAATATGGGAATCCCCAACCCTAAAGAGAGCCACGAGGACTGAGGGACAAAGAGGGAAAGAGCGAAGACACTTCTGGTCGCAGTGACAGAAATGTGCGTGGGGACGAGAGATAGTCCGCACGCTAGGAAGGACACATGTACAATGGGAGTGGAATTGTGAGTATGCAAAATGGAGGAGGATATGCATTGAAAGATTCCGGGCGTGGGACGACACGAATAAGGTAGGGCAAAATAGCCAAAAAGAGGAACAGTGACAGAAAATGGATCGCACTCGAAAAGAGCAAACCGGATTCGACACGGACACCGGCACCATCATCGTAAGCAATAGTGAAGTAACCAGTACACTAGAAACTGAGCAAGCAAGTGGAGGGAGAAAATTCCGCATCCGCCCAGTTAATTGGGTTGGGTGCCAGCTGATTGGCGCCGGACACATACGGCAAGTGACAAGCATATACACACACTCACAGAATGTGTATAACGAATGGGATAGACGGTGACAGGTAAGAAGTACAGATACAAGGCATCCTGAGATGACTGACGGAATGGTCCGACGTGCGGAGACGATTGCCCACGACGAGCATGTGTGTTTGGCAAACTGGAAACTGGTAAATAATTCTAGTGTGAAATTCAGTAAAGATGTAAGGAGAAAAACCCTATTGAGAACAACGAACGAGAGAACGTAGTTGGATCAGCTTGGAGTACGACCGCGTCAGGTTGTGATCTCTGGCTGCTGAGATGATGAGACCAAATTGTCGTAGGTTATCACCAGCTGCCGCATCTGTCCGGTTGATAAGAGACCGTAGTCTACCAGATTGGTGAAATGAAGTATCATGTTGGTCCGCAAGTGCCGGCGGTAGATCTGCGACGCGAAACGATGCACAAAACATGAGGCCACGTTGGCTAACTGTGAATCACAAGTGATCAGCTCCGAGGGTCCTAGTGAGAGGAGCAACGAGTTCCACAATTGCATAATTTGCTTTTCACCCTGAAAAAACATGAGAAGGAAAATGAGGGAAATGGTGGAACGGGTTACGATATACGTTACTGATAAGTGGACAACTATGGGGGGCTTCATGGTCTAAGTAGCAGAGTCCCACGTATTGACAACAGACTCGAGGGCAATAATTAGATGTAACATAAGCTACTGAATAACATGGAAGTAACTTAAAATACCATAAAATTGACATCAGTTATTTAGCCATACAGAAGAACCGAACAGATCGAAACACTGCCTACCTGGTTTACATCAGTGAATTCTTCCAACTTGCGCTGGTAATGCTGCCACAACCAGACAGGCGAGTCTTCTGCTTCGGAGTCCACGTCAAATTCACAAGCACGAATGGGCTGCATTGTACGTGTGTGATAGTAGACACGATTGTGGCCCGTTGCGATCGGCCGGACTGATAAAGTCGGATCAAAAGGCTGGGGGTGTAAAAGGGGAGGAGGCAAAGACAGAAAACATTCATTCGAAAAATCATGTGGGAGATTTGTTGTGCAAATATGAACGGACAGCTTGACAGTCTCGTGACCTGAAGTGGCAGCCGCAAGCAATCACCTAATCTACACGGTGCATGTCGGAAGCACAACCGCAATCCGAAGTTACACAGTCTGTGAAGATAGCAATGTAGAACCCCAGCGCGGCAGCGGAATCGACAAAGATTACATTGGTAACCAACAAGCGGTAACATTACTATCAGTTGATTAAAAAGACTTCAGCCATCCGTGGTGTTGAAATGCCTCCGAGCACAGAATATCATGTAGATAGTGGCTTGCATAGATCCCAATGAAAGTAAAGGTAGTTACTTCACGGATACGGATGTTTTAGTTCAACAACTGAACAACAACAAATATGTTACGAAAATTATGGAGCTGTGCAGCCTTTGGCAGAGCAAAGTAATTGCTTTGGGTATACCAGGAAGGTCACCTGTACCATAGTGCCACTAAAGTCGTGATAATGAAACATGTGTTAAACTTTGCTAGTGCGCAGGTCGACCAGTCATGGTAACGTGGGTGTTCGGCAATGGCAACACTGTACGTAACGACAGGTCTCGCATTGACTTGTGACTATCAGGTAGACAGATAGCAAGACTACAATGCTCGCTGAAACTACTTTTACTGTACCGCCCAAGTGAAGGAAATGACCAGACCACTACAAAGTGAATCGCAGCCCAGACTTAGCTTGGGCATCGCAATCTATTCTCACAACAAGTGCTGTAAGACGACTCTCAAATGGCAATAATAATTTAGTAACATCGGTAATAAGAAGTATTATTATTATTATTATTATTATTATTATTATTACAATCCGAATGATGCGCTAAAGCGGGGTGCACGTCAGAAACCGTCAAATGCGGAGTGGAAGGCAAGTGTGGTGGAGCGGCTGCCTGAACTCAAACGGACGATACAGACACATGCCACAAAAGCACAAGTGTCATAAGACGAAAATGCAATCGCAGTAAGAATGGCGGTTGGGAAAAACGGCGAAACGCTGTCGCTGTAGACGGCGCTACGAGCCTGATGTTTCCAAGACTCAAAACCGCCCTGTATCATGCAGAAAGGGGTGAGGTGACCCCATATATGTACCTGGTCGTTTACTCGTTCGGCGCCTCGCCAAAAGATGAGGTGCGTGTAGGGAAGCCTCCGAACGGGGCAAGGGACACGAGCCGAAGAACCGGCGAGACTGAGTGACTTGTTTGATTGTTCGCCGCCTCCGAACAGGCCCAGCCCCGTCCACCCACCAATGAGCTGGCCACGGGGGACGCTCCATCGACCGTTCAGATTGTTTGTTAGCTCGTAGCTCCAACGTCGCAGACCGCAATCATTCGACCCATCGTACGCTTCATTCAGAGAGACCTCAAGAGTCAGGTGTGATCGAGACGAACTCCAAGATGCCTTGAAACGAAACCGTGGATGACACGTTCGAAGATGAATTAACAACGCCTCCGGAGCTGGAAAATAAAACAATAATGGGTAAGAAGTAACACTATAGCAATAGGGAGTATCAATAAAATCAAAAAACATGATGGTGGTAAAGTAGACTAATAAAATCCCACCAACCATTAAGCAATGTACTACTTAGAGAGTAGGGTGGAAAGGAAGCGAAATCAGCTAAATGTATCAAGGCAAAAGTATCCAGGTGTGTAACAAACAGCGAGGCCAACGAAGACACAAGCGAAATGCAAGCTGAAAGGAAAGCTGGATGTACCGCACAGTCATTAGACCGGATGATAAGACCGGCAATGGTCTGTCTGTTCGTGCGTTCCAATTAACGGACGTTGCACATGCGGCATCATTGCGACGCCGGCACTAGTTCGTGTGAACAAATGTGCGAGACACACATATGGTGGATGGACGCATCGATTAGAAGAACGTAGTTATGGATGCATCACATACGGGAAGTATGCTCAAGCGAAAGAAGCATAAGCAACGTAAAGGAACACTTGAAAGTAGATATGTGAGCGAGGCATTGCGGGAGGGATACAACAAAGAATTATTAGTCGATTGACCAGACAATTCGCAGTAACTGATGACATGATGAACACAACAACATCATAACCCTGTGCGATGCTCGGGCGTGAAAATAAAACAGTGAAAAGATGGTATTTGGTGTGTTCACTGCAGCAAGTGGCTATTCGAAAGTTTTGTTGGCCCTGTATTTCCACAAAAGACAATAGAGTCATGAAAGTAGATGAAGAAACTGTGCCTCGTCAGATAATGAATTTTGGCGACCGGTGTGATAGATGGTGTAGTTTATCCAAAAATAATGGCAAGCACTAAAGGGACTCAGCCTAGGCCGACTCCGTCAGGAACCCAGACGGCCATCGGATGAGTATGGGGCCTGAAGCAGCGGGACGCAATCAAGCCAAACAACACACGCTGGGGAAGGTGGCAGCCAGAGGTACGTAAAAAGATACAGTCGAAAATGCGAAGGGACACTGCTGCACGGTGACAGCAATCGCGTTGTAGCAATGTGTGTCCGGCCGTAGGCCGATGGTTAATTATAACCAGGCATGAATGCCGCTATAGTGGGAGAGTGTCGAAAAGAAAAAAAACAACGACATCTTAGATACCTTTGTCAATAAGGCACGCAACAGCGCACCAACGAAGATAAAAGCCAATGGTGTAGAGTACCAGTGAAGCAGGTGGCCAGGGATAGGATCAGCATATGCAGTGTGGGAGCAACATTTACACACCGTCTGAATGAGCTTGTCATGTGAGTTCCACATCGACCAACATAAAGAATAAAGAGCAACCGGAGACCATTGCTCGCCGGTGTGAACGATGGAGTGGTTTAATTCACAGGGAAGTCAATGGACACAAAGTGTATATGTATTAAAGTAGCACCCCCACAGAGGGTGTAGTATTGATCGAGAGAGCAATTCCCGGATAAAAGTGAATCAGAAAGGCATTTGTTGAAAGTACCAATCTAATTCTTATTGTCGTCGTGGTAACCGCAGGTACCTAAGTCCAGTAATCCAGAAGTGGAGAGGCAAAAAGGGACCTGCCAATGATTCCTAGTGGGTACGATCAGTGACTCACGAGCATGCACTCATGAAATCTGCTTGACAGACAAGAAGACATGGGTAGGATGGTGGGGCGTTAGAAACGAGTAAAATGAGGCGAGAAAGGTATCAACAGTACGCCGGCACATACTATAGACGCTTGGTTGCCATGCGACTAGCACCAGTCGCGCGTGGTTCGGGCAAATTGCGAGGTCGCCTATGTCTACCCAGATTCCAACCGGTAAACCTTTGTATTACAAGGCATGTGCATTTTTTGTTCGGCCACCCCGGTCGAACTTGCCGATCGGCTATGCGAAACTTGTATAGCACTCAAAAAGCATTCGGGATCAACAAAAAACATTCACAAAAAAGTTGGCCTTCATTAGAAAATAAGGTGGCATCGGCTTCCGTGCGACTTCCATTGACCTACGTCGTAGTCAATCTCACACCACTGATGAAAACGCATCGGACACACTATAAACAGAACCGGAAACAACTGTAAACACGCACATGTGCCGGTTGTGAATCATTTTCACTAAGGTCCTGTGCCAAACGTCGGAGTGGGTAGTTTGGATTGTACGCAGAACAATGAGATGAACCAACAGCACCCTCAGGTTAACCGCTTGCGAATTCACTTTTCGCCATCGTGTCAGTGGTTATCACGCTTGAGGAGCCTCGTCATGTTATTCGACATCCCGTAAACCAATGTCTCGTCGGTGAATAGGGGGCGAAGACAAGCTACGTAACTTATCCAGTCTTGTGTGTTTATATAGTCAAGCAACTCGCACACGGCCGCGTTAATGTTCACCTATCGCTGTTGACAAAGTTGCCGGCCAGTGCCCTTAAGGATCACATGTTTGCGTTGTAATCAGAGGGCGCGGGTTTGAGTCTACAAAGCGGACCGGTTGATGCTCGTCCATGCGCGACTGCCGGTGATTACACGACAGCGAACCCCGGTACACAATACGGGCTTATTACTGATGCCTTCTTCGTCCGACAAAGTGGCGTCGTTTGATAAAAAGTCGAGGACATGAAATTTTTGGGCCAAAGGGATAAATTTTCACCACCATAAAGAATTATCTCTATCGTGGTCTCATACATAAAACCCAAAGATAACGAAAAATTCTCTTCTAATGCCGGATTAGTGGGGGCTCTGATGGCCTTACCAATAGATGAACTAACGTTAGCGGGTAGCGCCTGCTACTACCGCGATGGGGGTCACTTATGCAACTGCTACCAGCAACTCGCCTTCAATACTCAAGTGGCTCATTGAAAGGACAAAACGCATGTTAATGAATGTGACCACTTCAGTGCGTTTGTCAAAGGTCGGTTATGGCACTCCCAAATTTCCCAAAGACAGGGATATTTCGCCTGCCTTCAATCATCGGACAGGACCCCAGTACCTGTACCGTTAAGCAAGATATTGGTACGCTGATTATTTGTCAGTAAAATTGAAAAACACAAAAAATGCACTTCAAATAATTCAAAAACATCAAAAGTACAAGGTTGATGGATTAAATCAGATAGCACGGATTTACATCAGAAGTTCTCAACCGTACCATATTCCACAGAGTTGCAGGTGACTCGTATTAAAGAGAGCGGCACGCAATTAGCTCTCCACTCCGTCATTTACTATATATTACAAAAACGTTGTACATTATTGATCCATATTGACTCTAGTGCAAAAGCGAAATGTTGATGAATTTCGCTATTGAAAAGGCTGATAAATTCCGTTATCTCGGCAAACTGAGAAGAGTATGGTACGCAACACCGTAAATATGATCAAGCAACAAAAGGGAATGTGCAGTCCATCCGTCGGGAAACATTCCATTTATTTGTTTTATTTATCAGGGTAGACACAGGACGAAAGTTGCGATATGTTAACGTTTCGATTACTCTCATCAGTTGAAAAGGTAATACCTTTGGGCAAAAAATTAACTTATGTCCATGTGGAACGAAATTATACGGGTAAATCAAAGCTGAGCCATCAAGACCAAGACAATCGGATAGACTGCCTCAGCTGTCTTTGCACCGGTTTACCGCAGTCAGTAATAATGCAATGATTGTCAGCATTTTCGAGTTTCGGTTGATCAATGGAACTTTGAAAGCCTTCAATGGATCCCCGTAATGGCAAATCATCACATAGTGCTTTGTATTAGACGAGGTGGCGTTTCGGCTGTCCAGCTGATCCATCCCTACATGTTGTACCATGGATTGTCTAAACCACTTCGGGAAGTGCTCAGCCACCATTCGAGCCGGTCCTACTTATACAGACGTCACCGCAGCTGCAGATGAACTTGTAAATAACATGAGGCCAAACCGACTGAGGAACTGTTCGGACGGTAGTTAAGAGCTCCAGTCTCCGTGAGGTGTAGATTATTCGTAGATACGCGGTGGTGGTATAGGTGCAATTTGTAACCGACCTAAGTTTGTGGCCAATTGCATTGGAAACATTATCCCCTTAGAACGATAGAAATAAACAAACATCATTTTTCTCCATGGTTTGCACTGTTGGCTTCTCTTTGATGGGTCTAGTGTGTAAGTGAGTAAATTTCTCCGGATACCCGTTTGACGAAAGAGTCCTATGTAGGAACTATTCTTCACTCTGTAGCATCTCAGGACTAAATACGCCAGGCTCTGTAGTAAAGCGTTCTGAAGAGATCAAGTTTGCATGCAATCGCTGCGAAGCTGGTGGAATGCATGCATTGCCCACTCCAGGTTGCTTTACGGTGGACGGTGCGTTGGAGTGTACCTCCGATTCGCCTTTTGATAAGAATATCCTAAAAACGGCAGGGTATCTTGATGTTCCCTCTCATACGACACGGAGAGATGCTGTGAGTCGAATTCGACAAAGTGACGAATTTGGTAAATTGTTCTTCGCTGATGAAGATTCAGATTTTATTCATGTAACACTTATGCAGCTTAGCTTCACTAATGAGGTTAGTGGTCTCCCTTTTGATCAGCCCCAAGAATATGTGCGCCAGAAGCTGACCTAAAGGGCTACTCACTGCAACACCATCGAACTGCTTGTATGAGAATCCCTCAAATGCAAACCGAACATTTGCTGTGCACATTAATATCAGGTCACTGAAATACTCAGGATGAAGACTTACAAACAGATTTTGACTCATTTACTTATCTATTTATGTATAACTAAGTTAGTTAGCTTCTTCAAGCCATTCATCTATTGTAATCTGCTGATAAACATGACGCTTCATACACGTTAGGGAGAGAGCAATAGCGAACGAAGCACAGGTGTGGATCTGTGGTGTGGTGGCTTGGGCGTTGGTTCTGCAAACTTTGCTTACGGGTTTCAGCCTCCGAGTCTGTGTTAGAGTAAGGTACACAGCAATCAGATTGCAACCGTTGCATCAGTAGCAAACATTGCTGTTCTGCTGACTCGCACACACACACACACACACACAGCTGGACATGGGAAGAAAAGA